ATATCTATCTCCATTTCTCGGCGTAATGTATTCTTTGGTCTTCCTCTCCTCCTTCGACCTTGAGGATTCCATATGAGGGCTTGTCTTGTGACGCAGTTGGGTGTTTTCCTCAATGTGTGTCCTATCCACTTCCAGCACTTCTTTCTGATTTCTTCCTCCACTGGGATCTGATTTGTTCTCTCCCATAGTAGGTTGTTGCTTATAGTGTCCGGCCAGCGGATCTGAAGTATTTTGCGTAGACAACTGTTAATAAACACCTGTATCTTTTGGACGATGGATTTCGTAGTTTTCCAGGTTTCGGCTCCATACAGTAGAACTGTCTTGACATTTGTATTGAAAATTCTGACTTTGGTGTTGGTTGCTAATTGTTTTGAGTTCCAGATATTCCCCAGTTGTAGATATGCTGCTCTTGCTTTGCCAATCCGTGCCTTCACATCTGCATCAGATCCACCGTGTTCATCGATGATACTGCCCAAATATGTAAAGGTTTTTACATCTTCCAAATCTTCTCCGTCAATTGTGATTGGATTAGTACATGTTGTGTTGTATCGAAGAATCTTGCTTTTCCCTTTGTGTATATTGAGACCTATTGCTGCTGAGACTGCAGCTATACTGGTTGTCTTCTCCTGTATTTGTTGTTGTGTATGCGATAGAAGAGCCAGATCATCTGCAAAGTCTAGATCATCCAATTGCATCCTAGCTATCCACTGTATCCCGTGCTTCCCTTCAGATGTTGATGTCTTCATGATCCGAATTTCTCATACTCGTTTATAACCATTATTGAATCCCAGTAAATAGATAAGCATTCTCAAGGTCATTTTAACGTCACTCAAAGGTCATCCATAAATTATAGTCTTATTATCACAGATACATATATTATTTAAGATCAGTAATCGATTTTATTTTATCAGTTTTAAGTTACATTGACCTGAAATAAAAGTTTACTTGTATACAAATGAATCATTCAAAATTACATAGTTTACAAGTGAATTCGAAGATCAATTAATCTTGTTCATATTAATAACACTTATCATGAAAGCATAGTGTTTACGTTTGATCATAAAAAAAGTAACATTGAATGGTTGTAATAAACAAATTCACATGTAGATTTATTTTATGTTTAAGATTATTTTTGTATAATCATCTATCATAGAGCTAAACAGTCATTTTATTAGCAAAGATGGATAATATCTAGTAGTGGAATTAAGGAAGTGTATATCATTCTATTTATAACTTGTCAGCTGGATGTAACTATATTCCACAGTTATTATTCACTCTGGGACTCGAACCCAATACTATTCGCTTTAAACATCATCATATTATCCATTTAGCAATGGAGTCCTGACAGTGGTGGTCTAAAATCAATTAATTCATGATCTGAATCTGTTATGACTTTATGTTCGACTAGTTATCACGTGATCTATTCACCAATAAAAATAGGATTTATACAATCTTAGCATTGTGCCAAACCAATAACGTTCGACTGGTATGAGCAGCTTAGCGTCCTTATTGGTCCTATGTTTGCCTAGCCTGTCCACTTGAGTACAGAACATCAATATCAACTTTGAATATGCGAATCGAATCATTTATTTTAGACATACTGGGTTTATATATCAAATAAACAGACCTCAACGCACCATAAAATAGGAAATAACATTTGTACACAATAATGCCAAAATGTGGCTATGAACGTAGGACGCAGTAGTCAATAAACTGAGTATAACTTGAGAACAGTAAATCGTACAATAATAATCTATGGGTCAAAATGAAGCTTATAATAAGAGGAATATAGATATACATAATCTAGTTACTGCATACTTATATCATGAGAATATATAAATAATATAAGTTCATTAATAATCCTCAGAAGTTACCTGTAATTTAATCTTCACTAGGATATAACACAATCAAAAAGTTAACAATCAACACAACCCCACATTGATAATGAATAATTCTGTTCATAGAATTTTCCTAGTTATTGTTTATATTCTCTCTGTTTATAATCATCATATATTCACTAGTAACGGTCTTCAAGAAGTATTTCTTGAAGTTCATGTGAGAAGCCGTGATCAGTGAAGTTCAACTAGGTCTGTTGTGAGATAGCAACTCACTGAAGACAATGATAGACGTTGGCAAAATTTCTTGAATTGTTTGAAATTGCACATTAATACCGTTGGATGTCAGCTTAGTGATCTAATAGTTAAGCGTTCGTGCGCGAGACTGATAGGTCTTGAGTTTGAATCTCGCAAGGAGGGGATCGTGAATGTACACTACTACAGAAGAGTTCAATACTAAGACAAAACAGTCATCCAGTACTTCCAGGTTTTTCATAGTGATCTAACTTATATTGACACATGAATTCAACTATTGAAATTACTAAAATCTCCACAATACCCCCCTCTCTGAATACTTTCATTTATTATTTCATTATTGTAGGATTAATATTAACATTAATATTATTAATAATATTCATAATAATATCATTGATTAGTAACAATATAATATATATCATTGGAAATAAACGTGAACAGAGATTTTCACAATTAAAGAATTCATAAAGTACATTGTTTGTTAAATTTTTTTTTTTTTGGTATTCATGTGATAACCTAAAACAAACAAACAAATAAAAAAAATTATTCCATCTCATTGATAATCAATAAAATTGTGTACATCAACTTGAAAAAAAAATCTACAATACATTATTATTTATATTATTTGTTACTATGGCTACTGTTCCAATGAATATGGATACTCCCCTTTGTACTACTCATATTAGAGAGAGAAAAAGAAATAAACTGTTTATTATGTAATATTCACACAGAATTTTTTTGTTGTTAGAAGTAAACAGATTATATTCATTTGATATAGATGTTGACATGAATCTTCCTGTTGATGTTTATGATTGTAAATTGAATAGTCTTTGATTGGTATATGCGTATATTGTCTTAATTTACAGAGTGAATATTAACTATGAGATGTAGGTATATTCAGATGATGAATCGTAAATAGAACGAAACATGCCACTAGCTACTATCCATCTTTCTTTATAATGCTTGTAAATTAAGGTAATACTGAGGTAATCTGTTTGAATAACTTTTTATGGTTAGTGTTTTTTTATCGGGTTAGATTTCTACCGGATGGGGTCGCTGACCCCATGCTCAACCCTCCTCCTCTATGCGGGCATGGGATCGGCAGTAGCCCCCGGAGAAACTCCAGGCGAAACAGCATCATCGGTGGACACGGTGGATCTGATGCAGATGTGAAAACGCTGATCGGAAAACCAAGAGCAGCATATTTACAACTGAACAACATCTGCAACAACACCAAAGTCAGAAATTTCAATACACATGTCAAGACAGTTCTACTGTATGGTGTGGAAACCTGGAGAACTATGAAAGACATCATCCAGAAGATACAGGTGTTTATTAACAGTTGTCTACGCAAAATACTTCGGATCCGTTGGCCGGACACTATTGGCAACAACCTATTATGGGATAGAACAAATCAGATCCCAATTGAGGAAGAAATCAGAAAGAAGTGCTGGAAGTGGATAGGACACATATTGGGGAAAGCACCGAACTGCGTCACAAGACAAGTCCTCACATGGAATTCTCAAGGTCGAAGGAGGAGAGGAAGACTAGAGAACACATTACGCTGGGAGATGGAGATAGACATGAGAGGTATGAACACGAACTGAATGGAACTAGAAAAGAAGGTCCATGACAGAGTGAGTTGGAGAATGGTTGTCGGCAGCCTATGCTCCATTAGAAGTAATCGGCGTAAGTAAGTAAGTTATTAAGTGAGGTAATCTGTACAGGATGTATATATTCCAATAAGAGACTAATTAATTGCAATCGTAAACATCAATGGGAAGATTTAAGTAATCATAAGTAAGCGGAATGTGATCTGGTAATAATAAGTACATTTTGTCTAATACTTACAGTCTTTATTCAATCTTACTAAATAAACATTCATAGTATGAAAAGTAATGTGACTAGAACTAATTGATTTCACTATATGCATTACCGATTTCATTAAAATAATCTAATTAATTCTAAGAACGAAATAATAAAAAGACTCGTCATCTGGATGTATCTGCATCCCATAGTTGATGTTCACTCTGGGACTCGAACACAGTACCATTCGCTTCAAACGTCATCGCGTTATCCAATAAGCGACTGATTAATTACAGTCGTAAATATCAATGGGAAAATTCCAAAATACAATACAAAATAAATTCAAACTTCAAACCATCGCAAAAGCTAGCGGTTGTTAAGACTCAGTTACCATGTGGATAACACGATGATGTTTGAAGCGAATGGTATTGGGTTTAAGTTTCGAAGTGAACATCAACTGTAAAATACAGATACATTCAACTGACGAATCCCAAATAAGATGAACCACACGTCCTTGATTCCATTGCTAACTACCATCCATCTGTGCTTTTAATGCCTGTGCATTCGTTAGCTGGATGTTCCTGCATCGTAGAATTGATGTTCCTTTCGGGATTCGAAACCAAGACTATTCACTTCAAATGCTATCGGCAATATATTCTACAATATTTTTCTGAAATCTATTATTACATTGAATTATCATTCATCATTTTAACAAATATTCATTTACTCTTTTATTCCTATTTCACATTTTAGTTGAAGCACAGTGAGTTGATGATTTATTGTTCTTACTATTATTATTATTACTTCAATGGTTGAGATTATGAGGCAATTGAAGCTAAATGACCATGGAAAACGTGAAAGCACTGAACGGCCGTTTCGTCCTATTGTGGGACTCCTCAGCAGTGTGTCCCCACGATCTCGCCCCCCCCCAAGAGATCTATTTATCTATCTATCTATCTATTATTTACCCCATATATTTGACTATAGTCAATGATACAAACAAACAACAGTTTTAAAGTTCTTGATAAAAAACTGAATATACAGCACAATCTCTACCAATAATCACCTCTAGTCGATTAGATAATGAACTTAGTACACTTCAGTATGTTACGATTGAACTATTTTAAGTAAAAAAGATAACGAATTGGATTTATTTCATTTTCAAGTCGTTGCTTCTTGTTATTAGATTATGATGGAATAAATTGACGGTAGAATTCTTGTCAATAACTTTTTTTAATGATTCTTTGATTATGAGTTGATTTGAAGGTGCATACTACAGTGAAACATGATTTTAGTTTTTACTGTATTTTAGAATTTTCCACATAGTTACCTGATATGCAAGATTTACCATGAAGGACCGCCAGTTTCTCCGACTTTGCAGTTTCGCTTGAGACCGGAGGTCCCAGGTTCGAGTCTTTTATAGATATGCACTACTGCTGAGTCTCATATCAAGACAAAATGGCCATTCAGTACTCTTAGATTTTTAGTAGAGATCTAACTTTGATCGATTTATGATTTCAATGAAATCCAACAGTTTCCATAACTCCTACTTAACATATAACTAATTACCAGACCAGTAATTTTTCGGAGATATTGAAAAGTCAGTTAGTCAGTAACAACGTGGAACTTTGTACGTACGTACATCAGTTCGAGTTGCCATACCACATTAGCACAGAGATGCAGTTAATGTTGATATTGAAATGATACATGTTGTAAATCTTACATCTATTTCATATAATTAAAATAATATTTGTTTTTTTTTAATAATTTCAAACAGATCATTTCAATATAGTATCGAATTTATTATCCCATTGGTTTTAAGTATAGTTGGAATAATATGCTTAATTGTAGTACTAATACTGATCTGGTACTATAGAAGAAAACGAAATAAACAAGACCGTAAGTAAAACAGTTCATTAAACTATCTTTCTCTTTTTTATTATAATCTAGAAAGCAAGTTTCGTCCTACTTGTGACTTGTTAATTGAATGTATCTACTATAACCCATAATAGATATGTACCCGGTAACTCAAATCCAGTACTATTAGCTTAATATGCTATTGATTTATCCACTTAGCTAACGACATTTAAAACTGTAATTGATTATTATAGTAAGCAATGACGGATAGTGGCTGGCAGTGTAATCCAGGACGAGTCCCGAATAGGACGAAACGCACGTCCTGGATTCCATCGCTAGCCACTATCCATCATTGCTTACTACAAAAAGCTTGTGAATTAAGGCAATATCGAGGCATACGCACAGTATGCACATATGCTAATAACAGACTGATCAATTGCAGTCTTAAACCTTAATGGGAAGATACAAGACAAACAATACCAAGTGAATCTGTAATTGATTAGTCTATTTTTTTTTTGACATATATGTATCATACGCAGATTGTTTCGTTGTAGACGCTAAGCTGCAAATATTTTTAATCAGCGTTAGATGATTATATAAAGGCAATACATACAGGATGAGTATATATTAATAAAGATATATATATATGTATATGTACAATTTTTAAAACGAGTGAATTATATTGTTTTAACTAGTAAACATAGTAACATTACTGAGTTACATATTGACTACAATTTAACAAAAATCATTGAAATGCAAACATACATATTCGTTAGATCAATTATACATTTAAACTTTGTCAAAAGAGGAAGGTGAGATACCCTAACAACAAGAACATAACTTTGATAAAATTGTTTTATTCACCATCCTAATTTATAAGTTTTCTAATCAGTGGAAATTATAAAAATCACTTGCTTCTAATCGACATCTGAGGGAAAGCATGGAATACAATAGACAGCTCAGAACCAATTAAACGATTTGGACTACGCAGATGACCAAACCTTCCCATTCCATACATACGAACAAATGCAGATGAAGGCAACTAGTGTAGCAGCAGTCTCTGCATCAGTAGGCCTCAACATACACAAAGGAAAAAGAAAGATCCTCAAATACAACACAGAGAACACCAACCCAGTCACACTTAATGGCGAAATTGGGGAAGATGTGGAATCCTTCACGTACCTGAGTAGCTTCATCGACGAACAAAAAGGATCAGATACAGACGTTAAGACGAGGGTCGGATAAGCAGGGACAACATTTCTACAATTGAAGAACATATGGGACTGAAAACAACTGTCTGTTAACCACTATCAAAGTCAGAATCTTCAACACGAACGTCAAGACAGTTAGTTCTACTATACGGAGCTTACACTTGGAGAACTACCACAACGATCATCAAAAATGTACAAGTATTTATAAACAGATGTCTACACAAGATACTCATCATCCATTGGCCGGATACCATCAACAACAGTTTACTGTGAGAGTGAACAAACCAGCTTCCAGTTGAAGAGGAAATTAGGAAAAGACGATGGAAGTGGATAGAACATCCATTACGGAAATCACCAAACTGCATCACGAGACAGGCCATAACTTGGAATCCTGACGGGAAGCGGAAAAGTGGAAGGCCAAAGAACACATTACGTGGGGAAACAGAATCAGATTTACAAAGGATGAATAACAACTGGAAAGAACTGGAAAGGATTACCCAGGACAGAGTTGGATGGGGTATGCTAGTGGGAAGCCTATGTTCCTCCACGAAGAGTAACAGGAGTAATTTGCTTCTAACTTAGTATTTAAGTAATACTAAATTTAGTAATGATATACTCTGCGTGGCTATCTAAGAGGGAATGCAAATCGATCAATAGATTAATTCTCGAACACATGGTTAATTTGGGTTGCCCCCTACCGTGTGAATTGTCCTTCGAAATCCTCTACAAAGTAAAGAAAAACACTGGCTTAAAAAAAAGGTTTGAATGAGGAATTTGTGTACAACTGAAGTTATAGTAACCTCTGTGTACAGAAGATTCATATTCCATCCCTTATTTTTCCCATACTCTTACCATTCCTTTAAATTTCTCAAATAGTAATTGCTAAGTATCATCTTACTCTCTACTTATTTCTTCTTCTCTATTAAAATAGATGGTTATCTTTTCTTTTTATGTTAAATTTCATAACGATTACATCATTTTAGTTCTTGGTAATGTAACATTCATTTTATTCAATACATGAAAACTTTAGATAATGTTAATTACATTGAAATAACTTCATTCCAGTTACAAATTATTATATTCAATACTCGAGATCTTGACTAGATTATGCAACATTTTCATTGATTTTCACTTGAATAAGTTTGATTAATATTGATAATTTCGTAACATGTTCAAAAGTGAATTCATGAATTAATCTAAGCTAGATCCCCATTAAAAATCTAAGAGCAATGAACTGCCGTTTAGTTCTAGTATGGGACTACTCAATCGTGTGTATCCATAATCGTCCGTGAAGGACTCGGACCCAGGACATTCGATCTAGTGAGCAGATGTATAAACTCTAGATCACTGAGCCAGCATTGAATGGTGTAAATGTCTAACTTTAATCTATCTATGATCTTGAGCAACCCTTCATTCATTATCTGAGGTAGATAACTGTCTCACACACGACCGACAATTCATTTTACTTATGATTAATTTTGTTAAGCCCTTCAATTAAATTATTTAACAGAGTGTTATTCGAACAGTAATAATTTGTCTATATCTTTGTATTGTTATGATCACCATCACGTTTTTGTAAACATGTATGCATGAATCTTATCAATTTTCTCGCCGCGTTTTACCTTACTTCGCTTCGCCTCGATTCGATTTAACTATGAATTTGCCGCTGTACTCGCTCGCACACACACATATTAGCCTCTCTGTTCCTATTCGCTCGATGTGCTTATAAGTTGTCTATCTGTGCTACCCAATAATAAACTGTAATTACCACTTCATATTGCTTTCTGCATTCATGAACCGTTGGGATTTACTTAATAATGGTTACCAAGGTGATTAATAAACGAAGTCTAAGAAAATTTGTCGAAGCCAAACCACTATATGTTAATCGATTCTCTTAAGGATTATGTACCAGCATTCTTGGGAGAATTAATTCTTCCTGGCCCCCAAGTGCCCTGGTATGGCTGAGAGTGCGAAAAGTCAGTTCTCTATTTCCAAATGCTCTCACACAGCCACATACATACAACCATTGCCAGGGAAGACCTACTGCCTTCTCCCATCACGGAGGTGTTATTTGAGAAAACGAAAAGCGAATGTCCGGTGCTTTAACCGGGTTGATGCATATAGACGATCCACCTAGGGGAGTTGGAAAACACTCATTTAAAACCAATGGTACACAAAGGCTCCAGTATCCTGAAGGAATAAATGGAGTATGAAACAATTGTTGATAACCGGCTACCATGAGATTGCATCTCTTTACGTCGCTCCACTGTCTTATGGATCAAACTTTTAAGTCAAAAACTTCAGGTGTGATCTCCTAAGAAAACCACCTGCTTCAGTTTGGGCACCCAGCCCCTCACACATATCGAATGCTTTATATGTCGCATATCTATTTGATACCTCCTTATATCAATGTTTATGTGTTTAAATAAATAAAACAAATTCATCCTGCATGATCTTATTATTTGTTTATTCTATTCATTTCAATCTTCATAGATTAAATGTTTTCACATTAGTCAAAATGTTAGTTTATAAAATGTAACATAGTACCACAATGTATACATTTAACAATTCAGATCATTATCTAAATAACCTGTAAAAGATTAATATAAATCTATTCACTATTGTATTATACATGTATACATATAATGGTTTCAGGGTATCTCAAGTATTCAAGTCTCAGTAATGAACAATGGACTTTTACTATATCCAATAATAATAATAATAATAATAATAATAATAATAATAATAATAATACATCATAAAACAATACTAACCAATAAATCGATAAAGTACTTTAATCAATAACGTAACTTTAGTTCATATATATATATAAATATATATGATACTAACCAATTTCTTTTTATTAACCTAACACTTGAATATCATCTAAAGTCATTTAAAGACTTCAATTAAGTTATTATACACTATGTGAATACATATTTATAGATGATGATAGATTATAGTTGAACTGTTATTAATGAATTAGATATTTAATTGTGTTTTTTCTTCTTCATTGTTTTAATAATAACACTTGAATGACCGCTTCATTTAAATGGTACATTATTGTATAGTGAATGACTATAGTTCATTTCTTAACTTTAAAGAAGAATAATAATAACGATAATAATCAGAGAGAGAGAGAGAGAGAAAAAAAGGGGGGGGTATTGTGGAGATTTTAGTAATTTGTTCGTTGAATTCATAAGTTGATTAAAGCTAGATCACAATGGAAAGCCTAGAAGCACTGGATGGTTATTTGGGACTCCTCAATAGTGTACATCTATGATCTTGGGTCTGTTATGAGATAATAACTCAGTGAAGACAATGATGAATAATGGTACAATTTCATGGATTGGTTAAAGTTAGACATTGACATCAATGCATGTCAACTTGATGGTCTATATGTTAAGTGTTGACGTGCGAGACCGATAGGTTCCAGGTTCGAATCCCGCGAGGCGGGATCATAGATGCGCACTGTCACAAAGGAGTCCCATATTCGAAAGAAACGATCGTCTAGTGCTTCTAGGCTTTAGAAATTTTACTTGTTTAACAAAGAATATCATAGAAACAGTTATTTAACAGTATAAGTTTCTTTTCAACATATAGTTAAATGATAACTATTCTATCAATATTCTTTCTATAGGTAAAATATTTCATTCATTTTAAATTGGGAACTTCAATCGTCACAACTATTTTCTTTTGTTTTAAATACTAAAGATTAAATACATGACTTTCACAACTATTTTTCTTTCATTCGTTTTTCTTCTATAAAGTCAACAAACAGTTGAATATAGTTGACAAGTGTAGGGTTTCAGTATCTAACAATAGATTGTATACCTTTGATAATACCATGTGAGTACATATACATAGTTAGCAATCATATATGTACTTATCTATACTTAACTTGTAAAGTTGGAAAATAGATAACCGAGGAGACATTCAAGTAGATCATTTGAACTATATGTTAACAAATTAGTTTACACAATAATAACGTAAGGGTTAAATAAAACTACTATTCTTTATCAAGTAAAGATGATGGTTAGCAATGAGATACAGGACGATGTTCTGTTTGGGACTCATCAACTGGATTTACCTGCATCTCAAAGTTAATATTCACTCTGCAACTCGAACCCAGTACCCGTTCGCTTCAAACACCATCAAGTTATTCACTCAAGTACTGAGTCCTGTTAGCCATTTGTTTGTGTAATGGGATGAAGTTTAATTCACTTGATATTTTTCTGCTTTTGAGACGAAGCGCACATCCTGGATTCCACTACTAGCCACTATTCATCTTTGCTTATAAAGCTTTTGACTTAAGGCAATATCGAAGCAGTCCGAACAGGATGCACATATACTAATCGTTTGAATATATACTGTTTTTAAATTTAAAGGAAAAACCTTACTGACTTGTAATTTCTATTTGATTTACATGTTGACTAACAAATAAACTATCATGATGAGACTATAATTTGTGGACAACCGTTGAGTGACACCAAAGTGACCTTTAGAGTGTCTACCTACCTAATAAGGCTAAATGAAGATTATAAAACAGTTTGAGGAATAAAGATAATGATTTACAATTGATGGTTAGAAGTTATTATTAAGATTGATGGTTTTCATCACAAACTCACATCAGATAAAATGCCAAGACGCTTTTATGGATGAATGGATGAGTGAATTTCATGCCAAAATCTAAGACCTATTATCCTAAATCTGATTGATTTGTTCATAAATTATAGTCTAATCAGTATCATTGTCGAATTCATTTAAATACTCTGGGTCACAATTATGGATTAATTTACCATTATTATGCAATCCGTTAACAGAGAGGCATTAAATGTATTATGATAGAAATCAGATAACAGTGAATTAATTTATATGGATAAATCAGCTCGTTTCATGAGGAGCTAATTGGCAGCCATTTACCTAACTTGATCATTATGTAATGTTGATCTGAATCTATAAGTATGATCTATTTCTTTCTCCTTAATGAACACAAAAAGGCATAGAATATGGATTTATGATATACTTTTACTCACATACTTAACAGATAATCCTATTCGAACAACACCGTTGGATGCCGGTTGGGTGGTCCAGTAGGTTAAACGTTTGCGCGCGAAACTGAAGGCCGTGGGTTTGGACCCTGCGGGCGGGATCGTGGATGCGCACTACTGAGGAGCCCCACAGTGGGGCGAAACAGTCGTCCAATACTCTCAGGTTTTCAATGGTGGTCTAACATCAATCGGTTCGTGATCTCACTCAATAACAATTCGTCTATTTCTTTGTACCATTTTGATCACTAACATATTTGTATAAACGTGTACGCTTGATTACATGTGACAGCCTACGCACGCACTTCTCTCTAGAGAAAATGTTGGTAGCTTAAATACCACTTAACCAATCATTCTCTTTCCCATGTATATATATGTACTCGAATCCTATGATTAGCTTTTACTTTCCCTTGCTATGCTCTTATGTGATTTGACTATAAATTTACCACTATATTTGCTTGCATACACACACACATACATTCTCCTCTCTGCTTTCTGTTCGCTTGATGCACTTATAGCTTTGTTTCTCCGTGCGATCCGCTAATAAACTGTAGTCGCCGCTTTGTATTAACTTCTGATATCAAACACCATTAGGAGTTATATAATAACAGTTATGAAGGTGATTGATTAACGAACCAAAGTCATTACAACATATCTAAATGTTTTGTATTTATTGAATTTAATCTATTCCGAAGTTTCCACATATTTAAATGAACTAGAGTAGTTAAATCAGTAGTATATAATGAATAGATAATGTGATATTTTAATAGTTAATTAGGGTTTCTCCTTACATCTCTATTCATCTGCATTTCAGCGAATTCTCCAACTTGTATTAATGCAAATCAAAGAAAACAATTGCAACTTAATGGGAAAACAGAATCTGAAAGAAAATTCAACATTGGTGGAATACTAAACTCAAGTAAACAATATCCATCTTATCCAATTACTACACAAATGCCTATTGGTTCATCAAATTTAACATCTCCACTATCGTCCACATTATCACCATCGGTTTATCCGATTGCCGGAATTGTTGCTAAATCCGTGAATCCACGCAATCCAACTCAGCCCCCATTACCTTCAATACAGAATAGAAAAACATTCAAAGTAATAACTGATCGTAGAATATTTTTTGAGTTTAAATTAGGAAATGATCTTAGCTAGATCAACATTGAAAACGTGGAAACACTGGACGACCGTTTCGTTCTAGTCTTAGATACCTTACCTATGCTCATTCGCTATCCTGGATGCGGGAATATAACTTAATGCCTTTGATCTTACGGGAGTATACAACCTCAAGATCACTTAGCCGGAAGTGACCAAAATTAAATATTCTCACTATAAGATGCTGCCCCAGAAATCTAGAGGTTAAATGTCCTTATTGACGACCGAGAGTCCTGAGTTTGATCCCTGCGTGAGGGATTGTGGATGCGCTCTGTTAAGAAGTTCCATATTAGTCGTCCAGTAATTCCACGTTTTCAATGGTGATCTAGACAATATCAGTTCGTAATTTAAATAATGATAATTTTTCTTAGTTAATACATTGCATTTTTTAGAAATACTGAACAGAATATGATATGGATAACTGAAAGAGATTTCTAATTCTTAAATGTCATAGTCTACGTTATTAGCTAACCTTAGTTAGACTGTTTTGTCCGAGTATGGAACATACATTATGTTGATCAATCAAGTTCCAGTATAATCACTAGCCTAAGTGATTCAACACCGTTTTAACAATGTTCACATGTTAAGTGATTGGAGTTGATCAGTGAGAAACCCTAGATTTATAAAAAGCAATTCGTGGTTCAAGTAGTTTAAACTGTAAGGCTGAGTGGTGTGTAGAGCATCAGTTTCCTCAATAATATAAGTGTATCTTGTTAATAAATACCAATGAGCATGAAATCTGAATGGAGCAAGGTTACTTGCTAACTGCTTCTAAGTGCCCGATATAGTAACAAACCAGAAAGATGTTTCACCTTTCGTTGTAAAATTGTAAAATTATCTATATCTTTAAATTGAATAGAAGAAAAGTGAAGATACAAAGCTTATAGTAAATAAGTCTTAGCACATCATTGTTTTATCAAATGATTTTAATGGGGGGGGGAATTAGCGTTAGTGATTAAAATAAAGTAAACTGATGAAGTAAACAAGATAAAGAACCTATGAGAAACAAACAAATCAATATGTTAGAAGGGTTTTGCGAATATTATAGTAATCTCAATGGTTGAGATCATGAGTCAATTGAAGCTAGACCACGATGGAAAAACTGGAAGGAGGGGTTTTGTAGAGATTGTAGTAATTTCAATATTTAGGATCATGAGTCAATTGAAGCTAGACTAATAGTTCTTGCGTTCGAATCCCGCTAGGCGTGGTTGTGGATGCGCAATGTTGAGGAGTCCCACAATAGGACGAAACAGCCTTCCAGTGCTACCAGGTTTTCCATAGTGGTCTAGCTTCAATTGACTCATGATATCAACCATTGAAAAAATCAATATGCCTTTTGATCACAAACCGAATTGATAATGCTTGTTAGCAAAAGTACCTTGGCTGGATATTTTGTGTCAAAGTGAGAATAAATTTGACAGAAGTATTTTTGCAACAAGAATATCATATTATGATTTGTGTCATTGAGTGGCCTTAATTAACCAATCGTCGAAGAGTGGGTAGTACTGGACAGCTGTTTAATCCTATTATAGAGCTTCTGATTGGCATTACATATTCATGAATCGATCATGGAGGATAGAACTCAGAACATTCAAATCTTTACATTACTGAACTGGCATTCAATGGTTAACATTTTTTTCATTTCAACCAATTAATAGTCTTTCATGATCTTCTTCGAATCCGATTGGTGTTTATCTGCCTTACATTTACAAATGAACAAATATATTGTAGACATTTAAGACTACCGACTATTAGCAACTATCATCATCTATAGATTCTTGAACAGAAAAATATGACCGTGTTATCGAAAGTAACACTTTCAAGTTTAAAAATGAAAGTTTACTTTTTTTGTAAAGATATTACACTTTAACTGCCATAGATAAGGATATCGTTTTTTATTGCAGACATTTCATCTACTCATAAGTAGTATAATAAACATCCATTTAATTTTTCAGGAATGATATAGTCGTTGGATTGTCTTTCTGAAGCTTATCATCATCAATATTATTATCATCACATACACAATTAATAAACAACAGATTTGTTTATATACAGACATTTATATATATAAATATATTTCTTATTAGAGATTATTGAAACTTATTTTGATAGAATGAAAACTAAAGATTTGAATTGTTGATTACATAATTGTATTTTACTATACTGACAAACGAAGAAGAAATACAACTCAATGCTCAAATAGATTTTCTTCTTGTTTTTCTTTAACGCCCTTCTGAGATACTATCTATAGACTTCCACAACTCATATTGTCTCTATTCATTATTGAAGTTAATGACTTTGTAACTAACCTCATGTCTACTACTACTACTACTACTACTACTACTACTACGACTACGATTACGACTACGACTACGACTACGACTACGACTACGACTACGACTACGACTACGACTACGACTATGACTACGACTACGACTACGACTACGACTACGACTACGACTACGACTACTACTACTACTACGACTACGACTACGACTACTACTACTACTTCAACTACGACTACGACTACTAACACTATTACTACAGTCTGTCTTGCATTAGTCTAGTATTCTTTTCAAAATAATAATAGTAATGTAAAACATCGTTGTTACTTATTAAGTCATTTTGTGAGTTAGGTAATTAGACAGAAAATGGGTTAAAGTTATTGAATTCAAATATATAACGTGTTAAATTCATTTAGTAATGTTTTACTTGTATCTTTCCATTGTTATTTAGGACTGCGATTGATCAGTCTCTTGTTGGAATATGTGCATCTTGTACGGACTGCCTTGATATTGTCTTAAGTTACAATCTTTTTAAGCAATGATTGATAAACGTCAGCAGTGAAATACAGGATGTTCATGTGCCAACAATAGACTGATCAATTGCAGTCCTAAATAACAATGGGAAGTTATAAATAAAACAACACCAAATGAATTTAAACTTCATCCCGTTGCACAAGCAGGTGGTTATCAGGACTCATTAGCTAAGTGGATAACGTGATGGCGTTTGAAGCTAACGACATTGTGTTCGATTCCCGGAGTGACAAATTAACTCTGAGGTGCAGGTACATTCAGCTCACGAATTGTGCAAGATACCACTGAAATCTTAATGGCTTATATGCAACAAATGCAAACTAATAAAAGGCATTGAGAAACTGAGAGATACAAACATATAAGATACCAATACTCACAAGTCACCTCAAAAAGTCAAACAATAAGTAAAAAATTCCAAACAAAGCATCGTATTACCGGGTGTTAATTATACACTTACACAAGATCTCACAAGACATGTCCTTTTTCACTTCTAAAGAACATCTGTATGCATACCTATCATTCATATACATTATAATACCATGTTACAATTAAATCTTACTACTCACTCATGTCCTCTCAATTGACTAGTGCTTTTGGATTAACGATAAGAAGTGCATGTTTCAAATGAATAGGAATGCAAAACACTACCAAATCACAAACCAAGTGAACAATTTTAAAAATAGGCAATAAGTCTATTTAGAATTCATTTGGTATTGTTTGTTCGAATCTTTCCATTGATATTAAGGACTGTAAGTTGTCGAGTTTCTTATTGGTGTATGTACATTCTGTACGGACTGCCCCAATATTGTCTTAAGTCACAAGCTTTATAAACAAAGATGGATAGTGGCTAGCAGTGAGATCCAAGATGTGGGTTTCGTCTCCTTTGGAACTCATCAGCCGTGCGTATCTGCATCCCGAAGTTGATGTCCACTTCGGTACATTCTGCTGATGAGTCCTAAACAGGACGAAACGCGCGTCCTAGATTCTACTGTTAGCCACCATCCATTTTTGCGTATAAATTTACTTTATTTTGAAAATGCATAAATGATTCCTATGAATACTACTTTGATCTTTGATCTTAATTGAACTATATTTTTAAGGGATGAATTAATATCATTGAATGAAGTTTAATCAGTTTTCATATTGAACATTTGGTATGTAACAGTGAATACCCATGGAATATTAGGCATAATACTAAGAATTAAACATTTCAGAGAGTAGGAATTCAGTGACATGTCAATTGTTGATTCAATAAACTATTTTGAAGTTATTTGTGTTATATAAATGAACCCAATATGTTAAACTATTTCACCTAGATTCGATGATACTGTTACTTTCTTTAGAAATAACCATTTGATAAGATTTCTCTAACCTATGATTAGAGGGACTTGTTGATGTGTGTGTAGATGTTTAGATTGGATCGACTGAAGTTAGACTATAACATCGTTGACTATCAGCTCAGCGACCTAGAGGTTAAGCGTTCGCACACGAGATCCAATGTTCTGGGTTCGAGTTTGGCGTGTGGGATTGTGCATTCGCACTGCTGAGGAGTCCCATACTAGCGCGAAGCGGTCGTTCAGTGGTGCCAGGTTTCTAATGTTGGTCTAGCTTAAATCAAGTCACAAATTCAACTATTAAAATTACTACAGTTCACAAAAATTCCCATCCTGACAATTAATGAAATAATTAAAAACAATATCAGATAGTTCGTAAGAGGTTTGTATTTATTCAGATTATTGGTGTAACTGGTTCTTAAGGCGAAAAGTAATATAAAACTGAAAGAAAGTTCAACTTTACATTTACCAAGGTAATGTCTTTGTTGTATGGCTAATAGCCTAACACTAACTTCAAAATGTAAACAGACTTAACTCCGGACTTCTTGCAGAAGTAGTGATGTACAGATTAGAAGCCTTGATCTTACCAGCAACTATGCCAAAAATGTGCATTCGTTATTTGGACGGCACACTTATCATTGTCAAAAAACGAGCTGAAAAACGCCAACGATTTGATCAGAAACGTCTTCGACGACATAAAATTCACAATAGGAAAGGAGTCCAACAACAAACTGTCATTCTAACGTATGCTAATAACCAGAACAAACGCAGGGGAACTGGAGACTCAAATATATCGGAAACCGACTGGCACAGATCAAATTCTCAATCACAGTAGCAACAACCCAAGAACTGAATAATCAACTTCATTTGAACTTTATTCAAGAGGGCGAGAATATAATGTAACACATTTAAGGCTAAGGAAAATTAAGAAAAATGTTTAAAGACTATTCTTCAGAAGAATAGCTACCTACGCACCTTCATCCAAATGTATCAACTCAAGTTAACAGCAGAAAAGAAATCAACCAACAAACGGATCATCTTACCATATATAAAATGCATATTAGAAATTACAACAAGATTATAGAAGCCGTCCGGAATAGGTGCAGCACACAAACCAGCAAAAACATTTCAATCAAACCTATGCAAATCAAAAGATGAAGTAAAAAGGAAGAAAAGTTAAACACCACCTACAAAATAAACTGTACCAACTGCGAAAAACACTACATAGGACAAAGTGGACGCCTTCTTCATCTTCACTTACATGAACATCATTTAGGGGTCAAATGTTATGATATATCCACTCTTATACCAATGCATATGGAAAACTGTCGAGATACATTTGATTGGGAAGATGTTTAGATATCTGGTAGAGAAAATTCCAAAAAAGCATCAGATAATTTTTAGAAAATTGGCACTTAGGTTAATCAGCAATCAATAAACACGTTTAAATCGATCCAACTTATCAACCAATCATGGACAGATATAGAATCGAGAATCAAATCAATGGAAGATAAAATCAAACTAAGGAAGTAAACAATGTCAGGTTAAGGGGCAACAACAACCAATCAAGATTGAGGTCTGTTGGACAAATTGTAAGTCATATGTGGAGAAAATCGGACACTTCACTTCTACTTGAAGGATGTGCTGATGATGTCGTTCAGAATAACGATGAAAGCTCCATGGTCAAATCATCCAATTGAGCTACAAATCTTCTTCACCATATCAAGACCTAACTCAATAGATTTATGAGTATCACTATCAATGATAGTAAACAATAACATAAGTAGGGAAAATCAAATATATTAGTAGAAAAATTTACAGAGTTATTCGGTAAAATGTAAACACTATACCTTCAATACTTCATTTGCAAAATATCCACTGATTGTCTCAGACTTTGTTGTTCCTTCATTTTCATACCAATTACTTTCTGTCCTCATTCTGTTTAATTTGTTCTCCTCAACCTTCTGCTACAAGGCATTCCACTTTCGATTGATGTTACATACTACTTATATCTCTCGACATAAGTAGCAAACATAACACAAATTTGCTATTCACGGAATCAGACTATTTATTTGTATTTATTTATTTAAACATATACCCATTGATAAAGAGAAACACCAAAGTAAATATTTTCCATAAAAGAAAAAAAAGAGATTGTGAAGAGATAAAAGAAGGAGGGTGAGTATAACAGGGAAAAACAGAATGAATAAATACAAGTGAACGAAAGTGATAAATAATGAAAGAAGTAATTTAGTTAAGAAAAAAATGCAACCAGAAAGAACTTTTTTTTCGAAAGGGGTTTTGTGTGGATTTTAGAAATTTCAATAGTTGAAATCATGAATCAATTGAAGCTAGACCACCATGGAAAACCTGGAAGTGCTGGACCGCCGTTTTGTCCTAGTATGGGACTCCTCAGCAGTGCGCATCCTCGAACCCGGCCCTCCACGAGATTCAAACACAGAGTCTTCAGTCTTGCACCAGGCGCTTAACCATTAGATTCTGTGTTTGAATCCCGCGGGGGGGGATAGTGGATGCACATTGCTGAGGAGTCTCATACTAGGACAAAACGGCCGTCCAGTACTTCCAGGTTTTCCATGGTGGTCTAGCTTCAATTAACTTATGATTTCAACTATTGAAACATTTCCGTTACAGAAGTTCTTCTCGCATCTATGAAGAAAGTAGAAGAAAATTACACTTGGTTCGCCACACTGTCTTCTATTCTGAGTTCTGTCTGATAATGTCTAAATCGATTAAGTTACGTTATCTCTAAAACCTCAATCAAGGAGTTGTGAAGGACCAAAAAATACGTTT